CCCAGTAGACAACAAACTGAATTTTTAAACGCTGATTTTATTCAGTAACTTACTGTGTTACATAAGTTAAACTCTGTGACAAAATAATGTACGCCTGCAGAAATAAAGTTATGTAGGGATTTTGCCACACCGTAGGCCACATGAATTTGAACCAGTATTGATTATCAATTGCCCAGACATTTTACTTTGAACACTGTTTTTTGTATTAAATCGAGACCTCAATAATAACCTAAGTCTAGTCCGTCGAACAACAATTTTGGCCATCCTGAGATAATTTACGAATTAATAGGACTATAAAAGTAGTTACGTTTCTTTCTCTACTGGAAGTTATTTGATGAAAACTTGACGGCCTTTGGCATGTAGACTGACAACTGCAATAGTTCTTTGTGAGTAATGAGGTTCCAACAAAGGTGCTAATTTATGGGGGGGGGAGGTGCCGGGATGGACCTCTTCCCCTCTTCAAAAATTCACGTTCCAAGTAATATTCTACGCACGGTTATTTTTACACTTTTATTGTGCTCAGTATTGTGTTGATGAAATCCTTAACTTGTTTCATCAGACACCAACTTAGCGCGCACACACGCACACACACACACACGCACACGTACACGTACACGAACACGCACATGCACACGAACACGCACATGCACACGAACACGCACATGCACACGAACACGCACACGCACATGCACACGAACACGCACACGCACATGCACACGAACACGCACATGCACACGAACACGCACATGCACACAGCATTTCAAAAACGCCGATGGCACGAAGTTAACCTCGAAGTTCAATCAACAACCACGCACATTGAAATGTGGAAGCCCTGTTCCTGGGGATTTCGTTCTTTCATCCTTCGCTGTCGATCGCCGATCTCGGTCCAAATAGCAAAATCGTCGCTTACATTCAGATATCCCACTTAAGCACGCAATGAGCGTCATTTGTATGCGACGACATCGCTATAGGAGCTCTTGCCTTGTGAGGCAAAGGTTGCCCTAAAGGTAGAGACACACAGGGCGCGGCGCAGCGCGGCAGGTTCAGCAGCACATGCGTGAAGCAGCGCGACGCCACATGAACCGGTGCAAAAATTTGAAAACTGGCGCACGAGAGGAATATGTATATAAATTTGTATTTAAAATGGAAAGTATAATTGGTAAGCGAAGAGAGTGAATGAACGTATCTCTATTCCCATCCCGACTGGGTTTTTGTCCAGTTTCCCTGATCCTCGAGCAAATGCTGAGATGGCCCCTTGTTTTGCTTCTGGACATAAATGTAACTTCAAATCAACTTCTCCCCAAAGCACGTCACACAATTGTTTACTGTTTTTGACATTAATAAATAAACTCAGTTTGTAGCGAATGCTGTAGCATGGGGAATATAGACCATCCATTTCCCATATTTCACGAAAATAAAAAAAATAAAAAACTTTTCAAGTTTGTATGAATAGCGTTAGATTAGAAAATGTAGGAGTTACGCTCATATAAATATGTGTACTACTTCAAGAATCTATTGCCAGGGCAATTTCTTCAAACACCTTGGTTCAGATGGTGTTGGTACACTTTGCCAAATTGACGGCTTCGAAAACACTTATTTATTAACAATTCCCTATCCATATTCACGTGGCGGGTTCGGATCGCGGGCAGTTCGACCGATTTGCTGAGGGAAAAAAATCGAACTCGACTGTTCCAAATCGCACCGCGTCGCTTGGTATATGGTCGAGCTCACAGCCATAGTTGTGCACTCAGGCGCGAAACCACGGGGAAAGAAATAAGGGAAATTTCTCCACCTAATTTCTTCAGTAATTTTAACTTGACACGAAACTTTCAAGCCAAACTATTTTCGGATAATCATTAAAACGAATACAATCGTATCGCAGAAGATGCGCTGAGTGCAGTCTGCGACATTTCACAAACTCTGTAATTCCACACATTTTGAATTTCCCCTCCCAGAATTCCGTCTCCGAATCCACCCCGATGCGTGCTCTTGTGTGTGGCTACCCCAACCCGTGAGAAGCTCGCGGTGGCCTTGAGCGGCAGTGGCGCAGCGCGCGGCCCTCGACCACTCACCACAGGCAGCGCCACTGCATCGCGTCGCGTCGCCCCTCGCGCCGCAGGCGACGTGGCGTCGCTGGTCGTCCCTGGCGTCGCCGTCGCCGTCGGCTGCGCGCGCGCGACTGCGCTCAGGCGGAAGCCGCCGCGACGCACGCCGCGACCGCCGAGGGGGCGAGGAGGGGGGGGGGGAGGGGCTTCCTGCGCGGTCATCGGGCCCTTATCGCCTCTGACGACGCCGCCACCAAACACGGCCAAATTGCATGTTGATGTGCTCCGCCAGGCGCGGACCACGGGGAGGGAAATGGGGAAAGTCCCCCCACCCCCTAAAATGTTTCAGCAACTTTTAATTTGTCACGAGACTTTCAAGCAAAAATAGTATTGGATTATCTATCATTTAAACGAATAAAATCGTATCGCAGCATTAACTGACTACAGCCTGCGATATTTTACAAAATCTGTAATATGACATATTCATCGAAAACATTTTGAATTCCCCCTTCCAAAATTCGTCTCTGGATCCGCCCCTGGCTCTGCTGTTTACGTATTGGGCAAATTGTTTGCCGTATGCACATTTTATGTCATGTGTTTATCAGGGAACGAATTTTGGGAGGGGGATTTTTTTTATTAAAAATGTTATGGTCGAATATGTCATGTTATAGATTTCGAAGAATGACGCAGGCTAAACTCCACTCAAGTAGCGATACAAATTTATTCGTTTTAATGTTTATTCGAAAACATTTCTGCTTGAAAGTTTCGTGGAAACTTTAAATTAATAGTTACTGAAAGGTTTTGGGAAGGGAAATTTTCCTTATTTCATGCCCAGTGGATCCGTGCCTCGGTTTATTATGTAGTATGCGTATTTATTTAAAGTCAATAACATTTAAAAACTGTGTGACGTGCTATGGGAGAAGTGTATCTGTGTTCTTCACTCTAGTGTAATAAAAACTATTTTCAAAGGCGAATCAGTTACAGAGTTTGGCTATAATCCCTCTTCGTTCCCTTCGTGAAGAAATCATGGACTTCCTGACGTGGGAACATGGAGAACGATCATTTGAATAACTATATTACTCACAGAACATTAAAAGGGGTGCACAGATAGTGAAGTTACATTTATTTAGTTTGATATATAATTAGATAATAATATGCATATGTAATTACGCACATAATAATGCACGTATAATATTTAATTAGTATTATATGCCTGACTCTTCTCGAGTAGAGTTAAATCACGTGTTGAATCGTTTCTGGATATCTTTCTCGCAAGGTTTTGTAACAGACCTAATACTATTAATATAAATAAAGCATACTATAGCCCATTACGTCATTAAGCACTCAGAACTGCATGACGCATCCTGACCCCGATGGAGGTAATATTAAAAGCAATGACATGGAATACTTCTAATTGTAATATTGGAGTTCACATGTAGATTCATTACTTTTAAATTGTGTGTTTTCGTGAATTTATTAGTTTTTACCTAGGCCGTAATACTTTTTTATCGTTAAGTTGTTTCATTCATGGAATTGCTGTTCACTGACTGCTGCTAATCTCGAGGCGTTGATGTTGTCAAGTGACTGATAACGTGCATAGTCCTATGAGGAACATTGAGACCCATCACAACGAGCTGGACATCCAGTGGTTCAAAAAAAAAGTATGTGATGAAAACAGAGACCGGTAGTGGCAGAAAAATGGAATTGACACTTTTTAAGTTGCCAAAAAATTCAGAAAATCATTTCCAAAGGCAATCGTAAACTGATTTCAAGGCTACCTAGAACAATGAATGAATCACCTTGAAGTGAATAGTAAAGGGAGCCGACACGAAGTTTGCTACCTGTGGCCTAAACAGAATCGCCTAGAAACCAGATGGGTGGATCCAAATTAATGTCGTTCATCGACACAGAATACAGTAGTCCTTGCATTACGTAACCAATTCAAAACACAACTAGAGGGAAAATATTTATTTAGTAGCATTTGTCCTACATGTCTCGGGAAACTGGAAGAATACGGAACCGATGTGAGTCAAAAGCTGTTTCCAAAAGATGTTTACATATTTACAAATAAAGAAACTTTTACATACATATTTACAGCTAAATTAAATGTTTTAAGAAGCAAATAAATGCTTATTGGTTAAATGGTTAAAGCAAATTTCATGGTTAATATTTAGACATTTTCTGTTACAAAAAGATAACTGTTGTGGTATTGCTTGATAGACCGGCACCCAGCGAGAAAAAATCACGTGAAATGTCATCAAGACAAAACTTAGAAGGCGATATGCGTTTATTCGTAGATATCAAAACAGCAATGCATGGTCACAACCGTCAATAACAAATTAACATGTTCGCCAAAAATTAGAGAGGTGTACTAATTCCAAAGCCACATTAAACAACAACAATACTTTTTCACAATTATGGTTGCTTTCGACGAAAAAGCTATATGGTGCGAAAGCCTTCCATACTTTTGCTAAATCCTGAACAGTGTAAAGCATGAATTAGTGTGGTGCTTGTTATCCAAGGGCATAACTTTTTGACATGTTTTATAAAATTGTACCTCATTGAAGTCGTACATAGAGACTATCATGGATACGTTCCCATGAAAAGAATTTGGTCCCCATGAGTTTTGTCGCAGTGTCTTTCATACATGTTTTTTTTCTCTCTGGATCTCGGTGTATGAGTCAGCATGGCTCCAACAGAATGAAAATATACAGCAGAAAGTAGTTGTTTTTTGGAATAATTTAATGTTTTAACGTGCGTAATGTCGTCTTGTTTGTCCAACTTGCAAGGCCTCAAAACTTTAATATGGTTGCAGACCACATTGTCACTACACGGGTGAACCACACTTGCCTTACCCGTATTGTTGAGCGCTTTGCTCGGCTGCTCTGAAACGGGGGGGGGGGAGAATTCAAAACGGGTGCTATCAGGTTGAATCATGCATAATGCAGTGAAGAACATAGGGATGATTTTCAATTCCTGAATTTACTAGAAAAAATCCTTAAATCTAAACTTAACCTGTATTACATTAAAGGAGGTGTTGACCCCGGCAGGGTGCGTGTGTTAGGCACACACTATTCTCGCCCGCCAAGGACGAAAGGGACTTTCACTTTTGACTGATAACCTTTCGCCGGTCACAATAAAAGACTTCGCGGCCCGCGGGCCGCTGGTTGGGGAACCTTGTTGTAGAGAGAAAAATAGTTTTTGCTGTCTGGACCAACCTTGGAGTCTCGGCACTTCCTGATTCTCAAGTTCAAATCCCACAGTGGCCATGACCTGCCCCTAGGGTCCGATTACATTTCGAACTCCCTCGATACGTTTGCCAAGAAAAATATTACTTTTAAAAGGTAAATTTATTCTTGACAATTGTTTTGAATGAAGAAAGTAAAATTATTGGATCGGGAGAGGGGGACTGTCGAAAATTGCTTGATCCATGTACATTGTATGACTACGTGTTCCTCTTAAATACGTTCGGTTCAAATTTACATTAAAATATATTATTTTCTATTTTAGAAAATTACTTCTATAATTACCCTCGTTTATCGTAACAGATTTTCATAGAATATCATCATAAATAATCTAAAGACTATTGCAATTTAAACAGTATGTTGCGACCAAACATTGTCGTGAGAAGTATTGATTGTGGGAAATGTTTTTACTTCGAATGGCATAAATATTGAAATAATACAAATTTCCCACACTAGTTAAGGAAGTAACCTCTAGACTAACCTGCATTTCAGGAACTATTTACCTATTCACATCGGAAAGATCGAATGTGCAACGAATGTGAGGCTGTTAAGGAACAACAACACTCGTAGCTCGGAACGGAAGGACCACAAGAAATGGAAGGCCGTGTCGTCTCGTGTTGACGCTCTTTTCCTTGCGATTGCTCGCTCCCGGCGAGGGAAATTCCCGCAGGGCCAGAAATTGCGGAAATCAACGGTTGCCAATGTGTCATCAATGCAATCACCACCACCACGGAAATCAACGGTTGCCAATGTGTCATCAATGCAATCACCACCACTTCAACGAAGACGCACCAATCGTTTCAAAGATTGGTTGTGAACGCAAGCACAAAATCGGGACAACTCGTCCACCGAAAAATCATTCAGAAATTATTCACAGAAGGTCTCGAGTAATAGAAAACTTATTTGCATCGATAAACAAACTTAAGGTTTGGTTTCGAAGTATTGCTAATAACATAGAAACTCACACCATCGATTCTTCTTCTACCACGATTATCAAAAGGAGACCTCGACAAAATATGCGTAGAGTAAAGCTACATTTATTATTTTTTTTATTTTCTTTCAGAAGGTGACACCAGTTAGAGAGAACAAATAATTTATTATTCCATACATTTTGTCACAAGGATTTTCAGTAAATCTCCTGTTATCAGAGCAAAAGATACATGGAAGGAAGAGGATGGAAAATCATGAAACGCCGAAAATCACAGAGAACAGCAAGTTTTAAAAGCAATTTACAGTTCTTTCTGATAGAAATAAATGATATTAAAACAAAAGGAGACATCTGTATTCCGCATGGCGATGGAGTATAACAACAATTTTATGCTCTTTGAATTTTAATGCTTATAAAAAAATTAGAAAACATCTTTCTAAAGGTTATTATGAGATTCATAGATTAAAGGTGCTCACAGAAACACAAACACATAGTTCACAAACATTTGAATAGTGATCACGGTAAATGGCAGAAGTGCCAAATTTTACTTTTCCATAAACTTGTAAAAACATAATAGAAGGCAAAATCTTTAATCAATATACAATAATACAAATTTTACAATAATTTAATGTGTGGTAGATACATCAAAGAAACTGATACAAATCTTTCTACTCACTCAACGACATACACTCTAATGTTTGTATTTTATTAAAAGATGTCATTGTGAGTTGCAAAGAAAATTGTACAAGTACCATGGGTAGACGTTACAGATGAAATTCACACTCCTTCTACAGTGAAAAACACTGTTACATTAAGGTGCACAATGTTGTGATTCACAACCTTCAAGGAAGCATAGCTAGAAAGACCTGTTTGTTTTCTGCAGTGATTGTACGAGAACGCTGTACCATTTGAAGTTCCTCTATTTCCCCAATACTGTGCAGATTTTTACCCTTCCTGAAAATGTTTCAGAAATTCTATTTTTCAAGATCATTCAATAATTTCTTAGTTTTTATTCCTTGAGGACAAGTTTCATTTATTTGAATATATGG